AAAGGCAAAGTATGTATAATGTGACAGACCCCGGTCGTCAGCAGGCAGGATTGAACCGGGGACCTCTAGAGTTTAGTGCGTGAGCCTCTGCCACATGCTAAGGCTGTAAAGCAGACTCATTTTTCTACGTGGTCTCGGTGCCACTAGATGGGACAGAACACCACACCCAGAAGGTGTGTGGGTTACACATGCATCGGGCACACTCAGCGTCAGCAGTGACGGAAGCTGGCCACATGTTAGGGTTATTTTCATGCTTCCCTTGCGGCGTGTCATCTGCAGGTCAGGGCTGCTACTGGAAAGAGTAGCTGCAAATTACTTGATGTGGTTATGGCCAATCAATCAGTTCAGCAAACATTAATTCACACCACACATGGCCTTTTCCCCCTGATGATTCAAGTGCACTTTCTTCTCTGTACTTTCACACGAAACCATTTAAAAATACGTAATAGAGGCAAAGAGCCAGTGCCTACTCAGGGCTGCTCAGATGTCAGGGACAATCTGAAGACATCTGGCTTGAGGACCCAATGCTTGGGGGAGCTGAGCTCGGCTCAGCACAAGTATACATGGCTTTATTTCTCCTTTAGGCACACACCCCGTACTGCGACCAGCTTCAAGGCTGTTCTAATTTGCATTGGCTGGTAACCAGCCCCCAAGGGGCTGTTACATCAGCTGAGAATCATCAGAGCACAGGGACAGCTGGCTATGCCCCCACTCCTACCCCCCCCCCCAAGCACATTCCCTATACTGAGAACTACCAGTTTGTACCAGTTTGACTTTAGCCAGCTATTTAGGCCAGTATTCCAGCACACACCATAATGGGAGTCAGGATGTGGCCTATATGTTATTACTAAAACCATTTGGGAACAGACTGTGCCTAAGATTCAGAGAGCAACAGTGCATAAAACACCACAAGTCTATCTTCCAGTGGTTTTATATTGCTACGTATCACTTTACCGTCTGAGGAGGTGTGCAATCGCACATGTAACTGGCATGGCTGTGCAGTTACCACAATGAGATTTGCATTTCCATGCACAGAGGAGCAGTTTTGCATTGTCATTTTTACAAGCAAATAGTCACTTTTGGGCATGCAGCCACACTAAATGGGCATGCATCTTGGGGGGTGCAGTTAATGTCCGACCTTTTGAAATTCATCTCCTTTGAAGCTACACCGATATTCCTTTACTAACTTGGGAGGGATTTGCAGGGCTGCCCAGAGGATTCAGGGGGCCTGGGGCAAAGCAATATCAGGGGCCCCTTCCATAAAAAAAAACAATACTATAGAATACTATATTCTCGTGGGAGCCCCTGTGGGACTCGGGGCCTGGGGCAAATTACCCCACTTGCCCCTGTGGGCAGCCCGGGGGATTTGAAAGGGTTTATTTCCCAACCATATTTCAATGCGTCCTTCAGTAATCAGAGGCAGGCCGGATGTGTGTGTTTGCCAGAGCTACCTCCGCACACACAATCCACCCACACATCAAGGATGCATTGTTTTCCTAAATTTCAAGTATAGTGAAATTGATGTGGCATTGCAGATCTGAGGAAATCGCACTAGGAATGTCAATACTGGTAAATGAATAGCTCTGTTCTCCAGGAGCTGCTGAGCAGCATGTGTTCTCACTTCACCAAGCTGAGCTGCGGAGGGTTATTGGTTTTGCTCTTTTTCTTTTTCTTTTTTTCCCTAAGCCAAAAGCAATTAAGCATGAGTGCAAACCTTCTGCTATTGTCTGAAAGCTTGGGAACAAGGATGCCTACAGTTTGTGAGCCCAGTTATTGCTTCTTAAATAGTACAGCTTTAAAACCCAGATACATTTTTATCAATCTCTGAGTCAGAGTCGCAGGTGCACCTAAGCTGTGCTGGGGAGGAGGGCCACCTGGAGAAAGCTTGAATAGAAGGAGACTTTCCATTACTTCCCTATTCCTTCCCCATCCTGGGGGCAGTTTGTCTTCAGCTCAAATTAGAATAGCCTCAAGGCTGCTCTGACTGACACCATCGTGAACAGTTCCAACAACCACACAACAAAAATATTAACCCAGGAACCTATCCTTGCAACAAAGCCCGATTCACCAGCAACCACACAACAAAAACACTAACCCAGGAACCTATCTTTGCAACAAAGCCCGATGCCAACTCTGTCCACATATCTATTGAAGTGACACCATCACTGGACTTAATCACATCAGCCACGCCATCAGGGGCTCTTTCACATGCACATCTACCAATGTGATATATGCCATCATGTGCCAGCAATGCCCCTCTGCCATGTACATTGGCCAAACCGGACAGTCTCTACGCAAAAGAATAAATAGACACAAATCTGACATCAGGAATCATAACAATCAAAAACCAGTAGGAGAACACTTCAACCTCTCCGGCAACTCAGTAACAGACCTGAAGGTGGCAATTTTGCAACAGAAAGACTTCAAAAACAGACTCCAACGGGAAACTGCTGAGCTTGAATTGATTTGCAAATTAGATACCATTAACTCTGGCTTGAATAGAGACTGGGAATGGCGGAGTCATTACACTACTTGAATCTATTTCCTTATGATAACTATCCGTACACCTCTTGTCAACTGTCTGTAATTGACCATCTTGATTATCACTACAAAAGTTTTTTCCTGCTGATAATAGGTCATCTTAATTAATTAGCCTCTTAGAGTTGGTATGGCATCTTCTGTGTGTGTGTGTGTGTGTGTGTGTACACACACACACACACACACATACACACTCTTATTATATGTTCCATTCTATGAATCCGATGAAGTGGGCTGTAGCCCACGAAAGCTTATGCTCAAATAAATTTGTTAATCTCTAAGGTGCCAAAAGTACTCCAGTTCTTTCTAACTCTTGAGTGTTTGACTGACATGAAGGCCACCCCCTGCCATAATTTCAAGTCCCTGTTCCAAAGCATGGGGGCAGGGGAGTGCTTCAGAGTGCTTCAGAATATTTTAACATGGGCAAAACTTATTTTTCTCTTGTCTTATTCTTTGAAATGGCTGAATTATTTTGGTTAACATTTAAAAAAATAATCAAGCTGAGGTGTAGACATCCAGCATGTAAAATTTCAGCGCAGATATTGAAGTTTGACAAAGTTATAAGCAACTGAAAACAGGGTCTTAATGGGAAGTGTAGTGCTACCTTACTGTGAAGTGCTACCAACCCCACCTATAATACAGCTGACTTTTTTTTTTCCCCCTTCTGGCATCAGAGATGCACTCAAATTCGCTTAGTTGGGACAAACTGCTGCCAGATAAGTATGTTCTGAGAAGTTTTATTATAATAGGCTTGGATGTTGACTTCCAGATCTATTCTAATTGGCCAGTTGGGTTTCATACCCATGATTAAATGTTCCTGTAGTGACATGTAGCTTGCTTGTATGTTCACACATTAAACAACTATTTTTGAAGGAGAAACCGAATTCTTCTTTCCCACATGCCAAACCCTGTAGTTTTCTACCTTCCTGTCCCCACTTCAGCACTGCAGACTGCTTTTCTTGATGTTTAAAAAAGCAGAACTGCTAACATTGATCTGCATTAGTCTCCTGAGTAAAATGTTTAAAGTATTTAACCTGAAAGTTTCCCAGAGACTACAAGCTAAGTGAGAAGTAGTTGGAACTTCTTCCCCATCTCTCGGTCTTCCAACTATTCACAAGAGGCTGAAGAAACTACCTATTACTATTCAAGTTGTTAAACTTGTGGTTCCATTTCTGCTATGTTGATGAATCCTGCCTCAGTGCACAGTATAAGCACCAAATCTTCCCTAAACTGCTGAGTTGACAGCTCCACCCACTTTGAGCTTATAGTAGCCATCAAGCTGCTGGGGTCTCTGCTCTGCTTTAGGATGAAATGGCAGTAGGTAAATGGTTCCCGCTCCTGTCTAGTATAACCACAGAAGATCACAGGCGTTCTGGTTTCCCCTACACAGTGAAAATCACATCAGTTCTGATGCAGGCAGGGTCCTCTCCATAAAAGATACAGGTCAGGAGTTTTT